CCGATTTTCGACTAAGAAAAAATATCGTAGTATGCCCTGAAACTTTAATAAACATTTCAAATTTTGTCCCAAGGTAGACCTTTTAGTACTTGACATTTCAAAAAAAATTATTAAAATCGGTTTACAACTTCAAATTTTAGGGGGGTGTTTCCATTAAAAATGGGTCACACTGTATATATAAATTGAGAAAATTATTTACTACTACACCGGTGAAAAAATCTTTTTTTTCACTTTTACACCGTGAAAAAAAAACTTTTTTCACTGCCATAATGATAAAATTCTAACAAAACTATTGATATTACTATTTTCATTGTTTTCTTCGAATTTAAACATCATAAAAGGCAGTTTTTCAAGTATTCAGGAATGAACCTACATATTTTTTCAGTACAGGAACTTCAAGCTTACATAGGCACGAGCGAGGTAAGACCGCTACTATTGTTTATGATCTTCATGTTCGAGCAAATAGCAGGATGTGCAAGTTAAATGAATTCGTTTCATGAATGAAAATCACAAGAAACCGGAGCGGAGGAGTCACACTCGACTTGCGAAGCAATGTAATTGTCACTTCCAGGAGATATGCACTTGGCCTGAAAAAAGTTGTCTGGCGTAGAAAGCCTTGTTAAAAGCTCGTTTTGAATCACGATTTCGCGATAAGCTAGTGTGAAAATCGATTACCGGAACTCTAAATAAACTTGCGATGGTGATATACAGTTCTGTTCAGACAATGTTATGAATGCAATTTATTTTTTCAGTAAGTTTTTATTCTCAATTCTCCACTCATTCGGGTTTCATTTCCAGAAAACTTCAGAATGAACTTATATTCATATAAAGGACCCTGCAACAGTTGAAATGAATCGAATCAATTGTTGTCAGATCCGATTTTGCATTCTCAGAACTGAATCAACAATTGTTCAAATTCTAGCTTCGAAAGCGACCAAGGGTATATTTTCAGGAGAGATTAGTTTTTTGAAAAAACATCTTTTCGAAATAACCACTTCTATATGAAAAATCGCTTTTTCCAATTCAATATGTATTCCAAACATTCGTTTTGGAATTGAATCAGATATCATTCATTGGAAAGCTACAACCTATAGTATATGAAAGAGATAAAAAATAAAATTTCGTGTATTTCAATGTTTACATGAAAGTGGTTGTTTTGAGAGGTCTTCTTTCTTCCAGTTTATTATA